ACCACCACCACCACCACCACTACCGTCATCACCATCTTCAATTTCATCAATTGTGATCAACCACAGTGCCATCGTCATCAGTGCCTGCCTCTGCATCATCGGCGACATTGCCCCTATCATCCTCAGCATCATCGCTGGTGCAGGTAGTAGACTCATGGTCGTCGGCTTCCTAGTCTTCATAATGTTTTCCATCCATTCTTGTCAGCTTTGTTGGCACCAAGCCTTATCTATGATACGGAGTGTAAGCATTTCTGAGGAGTTAGTTGGCTTGAAGAGCTCGGGCATGCAGAATGTGACACAGCAAATGTGAAGTCTCGAATGTCCCGAACCCTCCTCCAGGGTGCGGGAAGCGTTGAGATCTCGTCCCCTCTCACCCAAGCCGTATGCTTTCTCGGAAGGACGCTGTGCAACCCCGGCTGAGGTCACATCTACGATACATGCCGCCGCATCTTCAACAGTCAGGCCATGCTGGTACCACTGCCACATCCGGTTTTACTTTGTCCGCATTGCACTGAGCCCCATCCCAATGCCTTCATCAACCCCTCTGAACCAAGCAAGAACTCCGCCATAGCCTCAACCAGACCTTCCCCTAGCAACGCATCAGGTCGGACATCTCTTCGGCAAGCAGTGGTGGGAGCCCTGTCTTCGATGGTCACCAGGGGCTCTTGGAGATGATCGGGGGTTCGGTAGCTGTAAGCTTTCAGGATCTTCCTAAACCCTAAACCCTATTGAATCTTCAAGCTGCAGGGCCCGCAAGGAGTTCAAGGGGCCCCCTTCGGCAAGAGAGATCACGAAGCCTTTTCGTACCAGACTCCTCCAACATGGGGAAGTACAGTCTATTCAGCGGATCCATTATGTACCGTATCACTGCAGCATCTTGTCTTCGGTGGCTGGCGATCTGCTGTCAGGGTGTTCTCACGGTTTCGTGGTGAAGTTGCATAACTCCTACATAAATCAAAACCGTAAACACTACCAGGGATCGACCCAGTGCTTCTTTCAGACTGGCTACGTCGCGGTTGTCGCAGCCAGAGAACAGACAAACCCACTTTCGATTTCTCTCTTTGGACAGCATCAACGTGGCTCTATGTGGCACGGCAGGCGGTCGTCCAGTGAGTCGATAGGTCTTCAGCAGCTGGTGCTCGGGTTTCAGTTGCTGGTTGTGGCCGAAGATCTGGCACGTTGGGAGTGTGATTCACTGGACCGTTAAGAGATCACCATTGCAGGCATCTCCCGCATTTTGTAAAGTGCGGAGCATGGCTCGAAGTAGAAAGTCGCGATCTGCGAAACCAAACAGGCATGGCGGCACAAACCCATGTTTAGGGCACGCGACGCTTCTCGCCCACGCGGCTCACGTTGATTCGGTCACGGCATTCAGTACGGGTTTTGCTTGGGTGAGGAGGGCTTGAGGTTGGAGCAGTTTCGAGAGCATGCGAAACCCGAAACTACCCCAAAGACACATAATTACCATAAAGTCAACTTGTCACATGCCCTTATTTGTTCGTCCATGTGTGTATAAGCATATATGTACATATAGGTATTTATGTACATGTGTGTATATATGTATACACA